TGGTGATGGTGGCGATGGTGGTGATGGTGGTAGAGATGGTGATGGTGATGGTGATGGTGGTGATGATGATGGAGATGGTAGTGATGGTGATAGAGACGGTGGTGATGATGGTAGTGATGATTGTGATGACTGGTGATGGTGGTGGTGGAGATGATGGTAATGATGGTGATGATGGTGATAGAGATGGTGATGGTGATGGTGATAGTGATGGTGATGACTGGTGATGGTGGTGGTGGAGATGATGGTAATGATGGTGATGGTGATAGTGGTGTTAGAGATGGTGATGGTGATGATGTTGGTGGTGATGATGGTGATGTTGGTGGTGATGATGGTGATGGTGGTGATGATGGTGCTGGTGGTGACAATGATGGTAAAAGCAGTGCCGTGCCCTCGTAAGCTCTTTCAGTGTAGTATGAAGATGCTCTGATTACTCCTATCTTAGCGTTTCGGGCACAGTCTCAGGGACTTTAAGCTATTGGCCTAAGCAGCAGATAGCCTGAGTGGAGGTCTCAGTCCTGTGCTCGTTGCTATGATACACATTCAGGCTAGGAAAGGCCGGAATTCAGCCTGCAGGACACGGCGCAGGGAGCTGGCTGGCGCCTGAAGGTTGTGCGGCTGCACGGCTGGCTCTGAGCTCCTCCGGCGAGGAGAGACGGCTCCGGGGGCTCGATCGTGTGGCAGCATGAGCAGGAGGTTCCCACGTCCCCACAGACACACTCTCTGTAACCCTGAGTTTAAAACAAACTTCTGTGGGTCTGGCTGCTGTTTGGTTCCGCTTTCACTGCTGCCTGCTTTCCGTGAGGTTCTGCCTGGTTTCTCTCCGGCTCTGCGGTGAAGGGAGAGGCTGTGGGAGGGGGGGTGAGGGGTGCTGCCCAGGCTGCCTGCACAGTTGAATTCTGAGACCTCCTCTCTGCCCCCCTCCCCACAGAAATGCCTGGAGCTGAAGGTGAGCCTGCTGGCCCGGCAGAGGAGCGCCCAGTCGGCCCTGGACCGCCTGCGGGCCCTCCTGAGACTGATACAGGGCGAGCAGGTGCTCCAGGCCACCCCGCTGCTGGCCGGGCCCTGGACCAAGCCCTCGGCCGCAGTCAGGCACGCTGCCCTGCAGCACCCCCAGGGACACAACTGACCCGAGGGCCCGTCTTCACCCCCAGGGAGTCACTGGGACCCGCCCACACGCCCAGGGTTCGGTCAGCCTTAACCACCGAACAATGTGAATTTCAGACAAAAACAGAGCCAGACAGGACAGGACAGTAGGGAAGGCACTGGAGTGAGAGAGACTCCTCCTCCAGCCGGGAGTGGGGTTGGGGGTGCCGGTGGAGTCCCCCCACGTTCAGATTCAGGCGGGCGCGCCATCGGCCTGCTGTGGTGGGACTGCCCAGGCCTCGGGCTTCCCGCACGGCTGTCCCCCACCTCCCTCCCTCGTGCAGAAGCGTGAGGGGCCAGGGCGCCCCCGACTGAGGGCCTGCGTGCTCCATCCCAGGACCAGTGCCTGGTGGGGAGGAGCCGGATGCGGCAGCTGAGTAGTACGTAGTGGGACAGGAAAGGGTAGAGAATCTAGGACTGCAGGCCCCTCCATCATGGGGCCGCGCCCAGGGCGGGGTGCTCCGTGCCTTGCGGACGCCCAGGCCCATTGGTCAGTATTAGCAGCTGTTTGACTTGAAACTGCGCTCCAGGGGGCTGCTGTGTCCCCCGTCGGTGCCACTGCCCCCGGCCGGGCACCACGCCCCTCGCCTGCGCCTCCCTCCCCCGCTGCTTTGGCCCATTCGGTGTGGGAGCGTTTTTCTCACCGAGTTTCCGCAGCCACGCGGGGGCATGGCACGTGTTCCTTTGGGTGGGATCATTCCCCGTCTGGGAAGCCTTTATTTCCTCCTTCCGAAGAGCCAGGGGAGCATCCCACCCTGGCTTTGGCCAGAACGGACCCTAAGCCAAAAATCACTGCCTTTTTATTGGGAGATATTTAATGTGAAGGGGCGCTCAGAGCCGCTGCCCGCTGGACCAGAGACACCGGGGGTGGGCGGGCGGGGACGTGGCCTCGGGAGGGGGTGTCCCGGGGCGCAGGGGGTGCGCTGGCCTCTTAGGGCTCCTGCGTCCCCATGGGCTGTGCCCCCTCATCACCTCCACCAGCCCCTCCAGCCCCCACGGACCTCGCCCAGCACGGGAGCCGCAGCTCCCACCCCCAGCACATCCCACGGTGCCAAACTCACTGAACACGCGTGTGTGCACGCACACGGCCCCAGACCCGCAGGCACACGCAGACCCAGGAGCAGGGAGGCCTGTCCGCGCTGCAGGCCGCGGCCCCCGCTGCCACGGCCACGGCCCTGGAGACACTGTGCTGTACGATACAGATCTATTTTCATACTCGACACCAGGTGCAACCAGAGTTCTATATTCTTTTATTGACGGACAGAGACACACGTCTTCCCCGCCGGCCACTGCCGACGCCCGAGGTGCATCTCCCGGCCCCCCACGCGGAGTCTCCAGCTTCTCTCTGGGCTCCTTTCCTTCGCGGTGGCCTGGGCTGAACTCTGGCAAACGTGGTGGGCGGATGGGAAAGGCCGGGCCCGGGAGGGGCGGCTGCTGGCGCGTCTGGAGACGTGGTGTTTGGACCGAGGAGCCGCCCAGTGGGTAGTGAGGGTAGAGACCAGTGTTCGCTGTAACTTGGCCCGTGTAGTTCGTCTGTTGGACGCATTAAACTCGGTTGGTGACCGCGGCGCCCTGTGGTTTGTTTGCAGCCTCAGCAGAGGCCCTGGGAGCAGTGGGACGGGGCTGGGCATTGGGAGGGGAGGGAAGCCCAGGCAGGTGGGAGGGGAGCTTGCGGGCGCCCTCTGCAGGCCGACCGCCTCCCCAGGAGGTGGCAGGTGCACCTATTGGGGCCAGAATTGATGTTGCCAGTAGCAACCAGCAGGCCAGGCATGAGGAGGCGCTGGCCACACTGGATCGTCACCACCCGTCCCACAGGCACACAAGGTCCCACAGCCAGGGGGCTGCCAGACTGGGATCCTGCCCCCTGCAGGGGTCCAATGGGAAGTGACTGCCCGAGGGAGGCCCGGGTCTGAGGGACACACGGGGGAGGAGGGGCACAGGGCTGCACAGCCCACCCAGCAGGGGCTGCGACAGCCACGGTGGGCCCTGGTCACAGGGTGATGGCTTGGCTTCTGCCTGAGTGTGGGGAGGCGGAGCCCCGGGTCCACGCCTCGGCCGGCCTCTGCATGCCTTAGCCGCCTCCCCCATCCCCTACCCCCCAGCCTCCGGCGTCTGCCAGAGCTGCCTCCAGCCCGGTCCTCTGCTGCGGACTCCATTGCCTTCATCCTGGGTCAGAGCCCTGGCCCAGGGGTCCCCACCTGGCCCGGCAAAGCGGGGTGAAGGGTGTGTTGAGGCCGAGAGTGAAGACTGTCCGTGCTCCCGCGGTGTGGGCGGGAGCCCCACTGCACCCCGTCCCCACCCCCAGCCCCGGTTCCAGCCCCGCCCACCCACTCCCACCGCGAGGCCGGGTCTGGGCGCTGAGGCCACCCCCAGCCCCTGACCAGGACGGGGACTCCCTCCAAAGGCCCACCCTCCCTGCCCCCTCCTCCCTGCGGCAGCTCTGCCATCAAAGGGACCCAGAGAGCATGACATCTGCCTCCCGCAGCTCTGCCTACCCAGCCAGCTCCGGGTGCTGTGCCCACCCAGCCAGCTCCGGTGCTGTGCCCACCCAGCCAGCCCGGGGTCCTGTGCCCACCCAGCCAGCCCGGGGTCCTGTGCCCACCCAGCCAGCCCGGGGTCCTGTGCCGGCCCAGCCAGCCCGGGGTCCTGTGCCCAGGTCGGACAGCCCGGGGGGGGGCAGCGCCCCTCCAGCACCCCTCCCAGCCCCCTCTGACCCAGGCCACAGAGAGCAGGGCCAGTCCTGGCTCCCTGGCCTTGGGGATGGAAGCCCCGGGGTGGAGGGTGCAGGCTGTCCAACAGTCACCCTCTCTGTGGCCTCTGTTTACATGACCGCGGTGATGGGGACTGCACTTCCCAGAGGGCTGTGCGGCTGGGACACTGGTGTGTGTGTGTGTGTGTGTGTGTGTGTGTGTGTGTGTGTAGGGGGTGGCCATAACTAGGCCCCACAGACTGCACAGCTCAAACCACAGACATGTATTCCCTTGGAGACGGGATGCTGAGGTCCAGGTGCTGAGGCCGCTTCTGGGGTGCGCTGAGCTGGGTGAGTACAAGACACCCTGCTGGGAGCCGGGGCCGAGGCGGGGACTGGGGGCTTTCCTCGGGCTCAGACTGAGACCCCTTTTCCTCGGACTCAGACTGAGACCCCCTTGGGAACCCCACTGAGGCCTGCCCTGGGCTCCCTGTGCCGGATGGTCAGAGCTGCCAGGGTGCGTTTGAAAAAAAGAATAAAGAGCCCTGGCCGGTGTGGTTCAGTGGATAGAGCACTGACCGGTCGGCAGAAGGGTCCTGGGTTCAATTCCCGCTCAAGGGCACGCACCTCGGTGGCAGGCTCCTCCCCGGCCCGGGCCCTGGGGAGGCACGTGCAGGAGGCAGCCCGTCGAAGCTTCTCTCCCGACGTTTCTCCAGCAGCTGCCACAGAGCCAGTCCTCGCCATGGGCTGGCCAGGCCGCCCGCTTTACCACCCCAATTCTCCCTCCTACCCTCCAGCCACCTTTGCCAAGTAAGTCTGCAGGGCCTCCCACTGCCACCCCGGCCTTGGCCGTGAGACCGGCATGGCCCACGGTGTGCTAGCCTGGGTGGCGGCAGCCAGAGCGAGGCAGCCTTGCCCTCTGCTCCGCGTGCACAGCGCCGCCCAGCTGGCTACCCGGCGTTACTGCAGCTGCCACTGACAGATACAGACCTCCCCCCATCAAGGCCCCCCTCAGACGGCCAGGAGTTAGGACTCCCCCAGACCCACCCCCGCATCCCCCCACGGCTCAGGAACGCCGGCCAGCGCCGAGGGACCAGGGCCAGGCAGAGCCTCGGGAGGGCATTTACTGTGAGTTTACAGAACACACGTGTGCACGGCTGGGCACACGTCAGCGGGACACTTCCAGCACCAGCGGCGTCCCGGGGCGGCTGCCGGGGGCCGGAGGCCCGGGGGGCGCGGCGCGGCCTCCGGCGAGGGGGCCGCCGGGCTCCCCCGCCCCGGCCGGGCCGGCAGCCGGCTCCCCGCGGGCGTCCCGGGCGCTGAAGACCTTGCCGTGGTGCTCGATCAGCAGCTCGGTGAACAGGTTCAGGGGCACCAGGGCGCCCAGCGAGGCCGCCCCCTGCGACGGCCAGATGAGGTTGAGGCCGAAGACGCAGGCCAGGTTGGAGCTGCTCATCTTGTTGAAGAGGCTTTCCCGGGACACCTGCAGGCAGACCGGGGGCGGCGTGGGTCCCTGGCGCTGCCACCTCCCTGCTCCGCGCCTCAGTTTCCCCATCTGCAAGCGGAAGGGCTTGGCCTTGATGCAGAGGGACCCGCCTCCGGCTCTGACCTGCTACAGTCTCCTCTGGGACCCCTCAGCCTCCCCGGCTCCTCTTCCACCCCGAGGTGGGGCCTCTGGCACAGTGGGCATGGCGGGCCCCTGGCTTCACCCCGCCAGACGGCCTGGGACACAGCCCGCCCTCCAGGCTCCCTCCCCCGCCCCCTCCGATCAGAGGCGATGTGGGGCAGAGGTCCCAGGAAAGAAGGCCCAGGGCAGTGACCAGGGCAGCAGTGCAGGAGCGGCAGGTGGGCATGGCGGCCTTGGCAGGGTTGCCCAGTGGAGTCCCTGCCCGCCAGGCCTTGGAGGAAGCCCTCTGGGGCCTGGGTGGCATCCCGAGGCCGAGGTGGGCGGCCCCGGACCTGGTCGGCGGCGCGGCCCACTCACCTGGTGCAGGAAGCCCATGAGGTAGTCGAGCACCGCGCGGTTGTGGTCGGGCAGGCCCTGCAGGATCTGGCGGCAGCGGGTCACCCGCAGGCTGCTCTCCACACCTGCCATGGCCCGGGGCCTCCTGAGTGCCCCGAGGGGAGGCCAGGGGCAGGGCACAGTGCCCCGCCGATGGCCCCGAGCTCCTACCCCCCAGCCCCCTCCCTTCTCCCGCGCCTGGTTCCTGCCTCCCAGAAACCCAGGGACACGGGGCCGGCACCTACTGGTGATGCCCAGGGCCTGCTCGTAGGCGGGGACGGTGAGCAGCGGCTGCGGCAGCTCCTGCAGGAAGGCCTTCAGCACGGCGGCGGCGATGTGGGGGTCCCCGTAGGCATCGAAGTCCACGGGCTTCCCTGCACCCGGCGGCAGACTGAGCCCGACCTGGGCGGGCACCCCGCGTCCGGTCTGCCGAGGCCAAGAGGCTCTAACCCCCGGGGGGAGAGCTGATGCTGGGCCACGTCTGGGGGCGGCTCTGTCCCCTGGAATGGGGGTGCTGTCACCCCCGCCTCTGCCTCTGCGGGCGCCTGGCGTCACCTGCTGGGTGGCCTGTCCGCCGGGGATGGGGCTGCTGAGCGGGGCCGGCCACAGCGCCCCACACCGGCCCCGTCGCTCAGTGAACGTGTGACCGTGGAAAGGATGGGGTGCGCGGAGTGGAGGGGACCCCCTGTAAGCGAGCTCACCGCTTCCCCAATGTCGGGCAGCAGCCGAGGGAGCCTCCGCAGACCCGTCCCTGCCCGCAAACGGGGGCTGGGGAACAGGCACGTGGCCGTGGGTTGGGGGGGGCGGGGGCCGGGGCGGGGGTCCCGGGAGCCGCCTCACCTTGGTTGTAGAGCCGCTGGATCTCGCGGACGGTCTGGACGCTGGCCGACCTCCGGAACAGGCCCTCCGTGCGGAGCCCTGCGGGCAGGCAGCCTGCTGCTACCGGGCCGCTCCCCGGGCCCAGCCCTGCCGGGGCCCCTGCACACTGGCCCCCCTCTACTCCCCGCTCCCCGGGCCCACCCCCTGCCGGGGCCCCTGCACACTGGCCCCCCTCTACTCCCCGCTCCCCGGGCCCACCCCCTGCCGGGGCCCCTGCAGACTGGCCCCCCCTCTACTCTCCGCTCCCTGGGCCCACCCCCTGCCGGGGCCCCTGCAGACTGGCCCCTCCTCTACTCCCCGCTCCCCCCCGGGCCCAGCCCTGCCGGGGCCCCTGCACACTGGCCCCCCTCTACTCCCCGCTCCCCCCCGGGCCCACCCCCTGCCGGGGCCCCTGCACACTGGCCCCCCTCTACTCCCCGCTCCCCCCCCGGGCCCACCCCCTGCCGGGGCCCCTGCACACTGGCCCCCCTCTACTCCCCGCTCCCCCCCTGGGCCCACCCCCTGCCGGGGCCCCTGCAGACTGGCCCCCCCTCTACTCCCCTTTCACCCCCCCCCGGGCCCACCCCCTGCCGGGGCACCTGCACACTGGCCCCCCTCTACTCCCCGCTCCCCCCCGGGCCCACCCCCTGCCGGGGCCCCTGCAGACTGGCCCCCCTCTACTCCCCGCTCCCCCCCCGGGCCCACCCCCTGCCGGGGCCCCTGCACACTGGCCCCCCCTCTACTCCCCGCTCCCCCCCCGGGCCCACCCCCTGCCGGGGCCCCTGCAGACTGGCCCCCCCTCTACTCCCCGCTCCCCCCCGGGCCCAGCCCTGCCGGGGCCCCTGCACACTGGCCCCCCTCTACTCCCCGCTCCCCGGGCCCACCCCTTGCCAGGGCCCCTGCACACTGGCCCCCCTCTACTCCCCGCTCCCCCCCCGGGCCCACCCCCTGCCGGGGCCCCTGCAGACTGGCCCCCCTCTACTCCCCGCTCCCCCCCGGGCCCACCCCCTGCCGGGGCCCCTGCAGACTGGCCCCCCTCTACTCCCCGCTCCCCGGGCCCACCCCTTGCCAGGGCCCCTGCAGACTGGCCCCCCTCTACTCCCCGCTCCCCCCCGGGCCCACCCCTGCAGACTGGCCCCCCTCTACTCCCCGCTCCCCCCCCCCCGGGCCCACCCCCTGCCGGGGCCCCTGCAGACTGGCCCCCCCTCTACTCCCCGCTCCCCCCCCCTGGGCCCACGCCCTGCCGGGGCCCCTGCAGACTGGCCCCCCTCTACTCCCCGCTCCCCGGGCCCACCCCCTGCCGGGGCCCCTGCACACTGGCCCCCCTCTACTCCCCGCTCCCCGGGCCCACCCCCTGCCAGGGCCCCTGCACACTGGCCCCCCCTCTACTCCCCGCTCCCCCCCGGGCCCACCCCCTGCCGGGGCCCCTGCAGACTGGCCCCCCCTCTACTCCCCGCTCCCCCCCGGGCCCACCCCCTGCCGGGGTCCCTGCACACTGGTCCCCCCTCTACTCCCCGCTCCCCCCCCCCCGGGCCCACCCCCTGCCGGGGCCCCTGCAGACTGGCCCCCCTCTACTCCCCGCTCCCCCCCGGGCCCAGCCCTGCCGGGGCCCCTGCAGACTGGCCCCCCTCTACTCCCCGCTCCCCCCCGGGCCCACCCCTGCAGACTGGCCCCCCTCTACTCCCCGCTCCCCCCCCCCGGGCCCACCCCCTGCCGGGGCCCCTGCAGACTGGCCCCCCCTCTACTCCCCGCTCCCCCCCCCCCTGGGCCCACGCCCTGCCGGGGCCCCTGCAGACTGGCCCCCCTCTACTCCCCGCTCCCCGGGCCCACCCCCTGCCGGGGCCCCTGCACACTGGCCCCCCTCTACTCCCCGCTCCCCGGGCCCACCCCCTGCCGGGGCCCCTGCACACTGGCCCCCCCTCTACTCCCCGCTCCCCCCCGGGCCCATCCCCTGCCGGGGTCCCTGCACACTGGTCCCCCCTCTACTCCCCGCTCCCCCCCCCCGGGCCCACCCCCTGCCGGGGCCCCTGCAGACTGGCCCCCCTCTACTCCCCGCTCCCCCCCCGGGCCCACCCCCTGCCGGGGCCCCTGCACACTGGCCCCCCTCTACTGCCGCCTCCACCCACTCCCCTCAGCTCAGCTTCGCCAGTCCCTCCCGAGTCCCCACCGCGGGCCCGGGGAGGAGAGCGGGAGGAGAGCGGGGAGGAGAGCGGGGAGGAGAGCGGGGAGGAGAGCGGGGAGGAGAGCGGGGAGGAGAGCGGGGAGGAGAGCGGGGAGGGCCGGGCACTGAGGTCAGACAGGCCGGTCGGTGCGGCTCCTCCAGCTCCAGGCCCCGGCGCAGGACCGGGCGGGCCTCCCGGGCGGTGCCGACAGCCCTCCCGCCCCCGGGGCCCCCCCGCACCTCTCTCCTGCAGGTACGTCACCGTGGACCGCAGCACCGGGGGGATGAGCTCGCCGTGGCTCTTGTCTCTGAGGCTGAGGGGAGAGGACGGCACAGTGTCACGTGGGCTGGACGGGCGATCGAGATGGGGCGACGGGGCTCTGGGCCTCCCCCCGCCGGCGGGAAAGGCCGGCCGAGGAGCCGCCGAGACACAGCCTGGGCCTCGGGGGCCATGAGCGGCGGGAAAACTAAAGCTGAGAGCGCGGTGCCAGGGCCCGGAGAGGCACAGCACCCGGGAGGCCTGGGGTGGCCCAGGCTGCACCTGGGACAACCGAGCCGGGTTTTGCGGTATGAGTAGGAGCCTCTGAGGACAAAGGAGGGAAGCAGAGGGGAGCCGAGAAGCGGAGACGTGGCCCGAGGGCAGGAGCAGGACGGGGTGGGCGCCGACCATCAAACAGCGAAGAAACCGCATGTGGCCTCGAGGGCTGTTCACTCAGCCTCTGGTTGTGCCGACCAGACACCCATCCACATGGAGAAACTTCAACACAGTATGTACAGTACACACAGAAGGCCCCCAGACACAGACACACACACTCACACACAGACACAGAGACGGACACACACACACACACACACAGACGAACACACACACACACACACAGACACACACACAGACATAGACACACACACACAGACACACACACACAGACACAGACATAGATAGAAACAGACACACACAGAAACAGACACACACACACAGACATAGACACACACACACACAGACACAGACACACACACAGAGAGACGGACACAGACACAGACACACATACAGACACAGACACACACACAGAGACAGACACAGACACACACACAGACATAGATACACACACAGACACAGATCCGGACACGGACACAGACATGAAACACACACACACAGACCCAGATCCGGACACGGACACAGACATGAACACACACACACACACACACACACAGACCCAGATCCGGACACGGACACACACACACACACACACAGACCCAGATCCGGACACGGACACAGACATGAACACACACACACACACACACACACACACACACAGACCCAGATCCGGACACGGACACGCTACTAAGCCCACAGGCTTCCTCCCAGGGCCTCATTTCCCTGTGAGGCTGCTCCATGCGGAGTCCCACAGCCTGGGGGCCAAGTCAAAGCAGATGAGGCCCTGCCCCTGAGCAGCGCAGGCCTGTGCTCCGAGGTGGAGCAGTGCGGGTGCTGGGAGGGACTCCGCTCTGCTCAGCTGCCCCCTCCTTGGGAGGCAAATGGGCAAAGAGAAGCAGGTTTGTGTCATCGGCGAGACCAGTCCCCAAACGCTAACGGGGGGTGGGGAGGGCGCTTCTGGCAGCAAAGGCTGAGCCAGAGCCTGAGGACACCCCCCCCCCCCCCCCGCCTCCGCAGCCTCCCCAGAGGGCGCCGTAGCTCTGCACAGCCCCCGGGGCAGGGGGCCAAAGACCAGCGTCCCCGGGCCCGCAGGCACCTTCCCCTCTTCCCTCGAGAAGTGGGTCCCGCTGGGCGAGGCCCCAGGAGCCACGCGGGCCCCTCACCGGTGCACAGAGCACCCCGAATCCGTCCCCCTCCGTCCCCAGCCAAACAGTGCCGACCAGGAGCCGCAGAACCACCGCACACGCTGGACGCCCGGAAAGGTCCAAGTCAGCGGAGAGTCAAAGGAGGGTGTGTTTCTGAGTCCAGAAACACACCCTCACATTTATGGTCGATTCGTTTTCTTTTCAATGTATTTCATTGATTTTTACAGAGAGGAAGGGAGAGGGATAGAGAGCTAGAAACATCGATGAGAGAGAATCATCGACCAGCTGCCTCCTGCACACTCCCCACTGGGGATGTGCCCGCAACCAAGGTTCATGCCCCTGACCGGAATTGAACCTGGGACCCTTCAGTCCGCAGGCCGACGCTCTATCTACTGAGCCAAACCGGTTTCGGCTCTTTTTTTTTTTTTTTTTTTTAAATATATATTTTATTGTTTTTTTACAGAGAGAAAGGTAGAGGAATAGAAAGCTAGAAACATCAATGAGAGAGAAACATTGATTAGCTGCCTTTTGCACACCCCTTACTGGGGATGTGCCTGCAACCAAGGTACATGCCCTTGACCGGAATCGAACCGGGACCTTCAGTCCACAGACCGACGCTCTACCGCTGAGCCAAACCGGTTTCGGCTCTTTCTTTTCTTTTCTTTTCTTTTTTTTTTTTTTAAATCCTCACCCAAGGATATGCTTTTAAAAAAAAAATTATTTGAGAGAGAGAGAAACATCGATGTGAGAGAGAAACATCAATTGGCTGCCTCCTGTGCACCCCGAGTGGGGATGGAACCCACAACCTGTGTGTGTGTCCTGATCGGGAACTGAACCCACGGCCCTTCAGTGCACAGGATGATGTTCCAACCAACGGAGCTACACGGGCTAGGGCTGGCCAAGGGGAGAAAGACAGTCTTTTCAGCAAGTGGCTCTTGTTGGTGTGGAGTCATCAGGGAAGGCTTCCTGGAGGAGGGGACGCTGGAGGAGGAGGAGGAGCGGGTGAAGTGCTGGGCAGCAGGAGCTGGCTCACATAGTCTGACACCCTGTGGTTAAGCCCTTTCTTCCTCTGTAACTGGCATTGAACCCCGCCCCCATGGCGCTGGAGGGTGAGGGGGCGGGGTTCAATGCCAGTTACAGAGGAAGAAAGCCAGAAAGTGCCGGAGTCGGGCTGGGGCCTCCCCCTCCCGCCCGAGGCCCCTCTCTTCCCAGTGGCCCCCACGGCTCTGCTGACCACACACGTGCGTTCCCGGCTCCCCCTTCGGGCACAGGGAGCCCGCCACGCCCGCCGCCCGTGACACCCGAGCTCGGTGACGGCTCTGGGTGACGGCTCCTGCCCTGTGCTGTGGAACCTGGCTCAGCACGTCAGCATTGGTGAATAGGATTTGGTTATGAATTTTAATGACGTTTATTCACTCACAGGCCAAGCAAATTAACTATTTGGTGCTTTAGTTAATGTGTTTATTGCCAGGCCGAAACCGGTGTGCTCGGTGGATAGAGCGTCGGCCTGCGGACTGAAGGGTCCCGGGTTCGATTCCGGTGAAGGGCATGGACCTTGGTTGCGGGCACATCCCCAGTAGGGGGCGTGCAGGAGGCAGCTGACCGATGTCTCTCTCTCATCGATGTTTCTAACTCTCTATCCGTCTCTCTTCTTTTATATATCAATAAAATATATATTAAAAAATGTGTTTATTGCCGTTTTATCCCAGTGTTCGCAATGGAGCGGCATGAAATGTTAACTTGAAGAGCCAACCGCACGGATTCCCTCTCCGAGTGGCCGGCCCAGGATCTGACCAAGGACTGCAGGCCAGTGTCTCAGTGGATAACTCTGTGGCCTGCAAACGATGTTCTTTATCCGATGGCCCCAGCAGAGAAAGGTTCCCCACCCTTACCCTGGCTGGTGTGGCTCAGTGGATAGAGCGTCAGCCTGTGGCCTGAAGGGTCCTGGGTTCGATTCCGGTCAAGGGCACAGGCCCAGGTTGTGGGCTCAATCCCCAGTGTGTGGGGAGGGGGTGCAGGAGGCAGCTGATCCATGATTCTCTCTCATCACGGATGTTTCTCTCTCCCTCTCTTCCTTTCTGAAATCAATAAAAATATATTTTTTAAAAAACACACCAGACCATAAACCAGAAAACATCTGCAGCACATATAACCCAAATAAGACCATGTGTGGACACACAACACAGCGCACACAAGGGCACCCAGGGCCCGCACACTCAGGGGCGTCCCAGGCCCCGCACTCAGGGGTCCCAGGTCCCGCACAGGGGGGTCCCGGGCCCCGCACAGGGGGGTCCCGGGCCCCGCACACGGGGGTCCCAGGTCCCGCACTCGGGGGTCCCAGGTCCCGCACAGGGGGTCCCAGGTCCCGCACTCGGGGGTCCCAGGTCCCGCACTCGGGGGTCCCAGGTCCTGCACTCGGGGGTCCCAGGTCCCGCACAGGGGGTCCCAGGCCCCGCACTCGGGGGTCCCAGGCCCCGCACAGGGGGTCCCAGGCCCTGCACAGGGGGGTCCCGGGCCCTGCACAAGGGGGTCCCGGGCCCTGCACAGGGGGTCCCAGGCCCTGCACAGGGGGGCCCCGGGCCCTGCACAGGGGGTCCCAGGCCCTGCACAGGGGGGTCCCGGGCCCTGCACAGGGGGTCCCAGGCCCGCGGAGGAAGAGGGCGGCCCGCACTCACTACTGCAGGCTGACGCCGAACTGCTGGGTGGGCAGCGGGGGCCGCGGCGGCGGCGTCCTGGCGGGAGCGAGCGGCCGGCCCTCCTGCAGGCTCCGGAGCTTCTCGTCGTACCTGCGGGCAGAGGCCCTCTCTCCCGGCACAGCTCTGGGCCGTGCACGCACGCACCCACACCCCCCCCCACACACACCCCCATACCCCCACACACACCCCCATACCCCCACGCACACCCCACACACACCCACACACACCCCCATACCCCCACACACATCCCCATACCCCCACACACACACCCATACCCCCCCACACACCCCCATACCCCCACACACACACCCATACCCCCAAGCTCACCCACACACACCCCACACACATCCCCATACCCCCACACACACCCCCATACCCCCACGCACACCCCCATACCCCCACACACACCCCCATACCCCCACACACACACCCATACCCCCACACACACACCCATACCCCCACACACACCCCCATACCCCCACACACACCCCCATACCCCCACACACACCCCCATACCCCCACACACATCCCCATACCCCCCCACACACCCCCATACCCCCACGCACACCCACACCCCCCCACACACACACCCCCATACCCCCACACACACCCCACACATCTCCACACACACCCACACACACCCCCATACCCCCACACACACCCCCATACCCCCACACACACCCCCATACCCCCCCACACACCCCCATACCCCCCCACACACCCCCATACCCCCATGCACACCCACACACACCCCCATACCCCCACACACACCCCCATACCCCCCCACACACCCCCATACCCCCACGCACACCCACACACACCCCACACACATCCCCATACCCCCACACACACCCCCATACCCCCACACACACCCCCATACCCCCCCACACACCCCCATACCCCCACACACATCCCCATACCCCCACACACACCCCCATACCCCCATGCACACCCACACACACCCCCATACCCCCACACACACCCCCATACCCCCACACACACCCCCATACCCCCCCACACACCCCCATACCCCCACACACACCCCCATACCCCCACACACACCCCCATACCCCCCCACACACCCCCATACCCCCACACACATCCCCATACCCCCACGCACACACCCATACCCCCATGCACACCCACACACACCCCCATACCCCCACACACACCCCCATACCCCCACACACACCCCCATACCCCCATGCACACCCACACACACCCCCATACCCCCACACACACCCCCATACCCCCACACACACCCCCATACCCCCACACACACCCCCATACCCCCATGCACACCCACACACACCCCCATACCCCCACACACACCCCCATACCCCCACACACACCCCCATACCCCCACACACACCCCCATACCCCCCCACACACCCCCATACCCCCACACACACCCCATACCCCCCCACACACCCCCATACCCCCACGCACACCCACACACACCCCACACACATCCCCATACCCCCACACACACCCCCATACCCCCACACACACCCCCATACCCCCACACACATCCCCATACCCCCACACACACCCCCATACCCCCACACACATCCCCATACCCCCACACACACACCCATACCCCCATGCACACCCACACACACCCCCATACCCCCACACACACCCCCATACCCCCACACACACCCCCATACCCCCCCACACACCCCCATACCCCCCCACACACCCCCATACCCCCACACACACCCCCATACCCCCACACACACCCCCATACCCCCCCACACACCCCCATACCCCCACGCACACCCACACACACCCCACACACATCCCCATACCCCCACACACACCCCCATACCCCCACACACACCCCCATACCCCCACACACATCCCCATACCCCCACACACATCCCCATACCCCCACACACACCCCCATACCCCCATGCACACCCACACACACCCCCATACCCCCACACACACCCCCATACCCCCACACACACCCCCATACCCCCCCACACACCCCCATACCCCCACACACACCCCCATACCCCCACACACACCCCCATACCCCCCCACACACCCCCATACCCCCACACACATCCCCATACCCCCACGCACACCCCCATACCCCCACACACACCCCCATACCCCCACACACACCCCCATACCCCCCCACACACCCCCATACCCCCACACACATCCCCATACCCCCACACACACCCCCATACCCCCATGCACACCCACACACACCCCCACACACACCCCCATACCCCCCCACACACCCCCATACCCCCATGCTCACCCACACACACCCCCACACACACCCCCATACCCCCACACACACCCCACACATCTCCACACACACCCACACACACCCCACGCACACACCCACACATCTCCACACGCACCCACACCCACCCACACACATCACACAACCCCATACCCCCACGCACACACCCACACACACACACACACACTCACGCACACATCCCCACGCACACACCCACACATCTCCACACAACTCCATACCCCCACAAACACACCGACCCGCACACCCCCACCCCCACTGCCCACCCACACCCACACCCACACCCACTGTCCGCCCACCGCCCGCCCACGCTCACTGCCGGCCTCGGCGCCAGAGCCAGGAGGGGCCCACAGCCCGCGGCCCCGGGGGAGGCAGGAGCACTCGGCCGCCAGCCCGCGGCTCTCCCTGCGGCCCAGCAGCCGGCCGGTCCGCGCCGGACACGGAGGGGACGGCCGGGCCGATCGCTCGGGACGGGGTGCGACTCACTGCACGACCTCGGGGGGCACGGCCAGCGGGCCGCACTGCAGCTGGTCCCGGAGCGCGCTCAGCGAGGAGAAGTAGGCCACCTTCTTCCCGAACTTGTGGCTGACGCGCAGGAGAAATCAGTGCAGAGAAGCGTGTGTGAAAACAGAAACAGAGCAAATCCTCGCCCAGTGTGAGTGCTTATCGACTTTAGAGAGGAGGGAGGAGGGAGAAGCACCGCCGAGCACCGGTGACCGACTGCCGCCCTGTGGCCCGCCGGGCACCGAGCCCGCCCTGCCCCGACCGGGACCCGACGTCAGCTCCCGGCTCATGGGCTGACACTCAGCCGCGGCCACGCCAGCCAGGCCGGCTGCAGGCGCGCAGCTCCCTGAAGCGGGGCCGCCTTACACGGGATCTGACTTACACGGCCCGCCTTACACGGACCGGCTTACACGGGATCTGACTTACACGGACCGGCTTACACGGGATCTGACTTACACGGCCCGCCTTACACGGGCCCGCCTTACACGGGATCTGACTTACACGGCCCGCCTTACACGGCCCGCCTTACACGGGATCTGACTTACACGGCCCGCCTTACACGGCCCGCCTTACACGGACCGCCTATGTTACCTGCCATGACACGGTCTCCACAGTCAAGTGGCGAGCACATCACCGCCTCCCAGGCTTCCTCGTGTCCCGTGTGTGTGTGTGTGTGTGTGTGCGCGTGCATGAGTGCGTGTATATGTGTGTGTGCGTGTATGTGCGTGTAGTGAGCGTGCGCGTATACGTGTGCGTGTATGTGTGTGGGGTGTTGGGGGTGGGTGGCACGGGGTCCTCGGTCACTCACAGCACGGGACGCTGGCAGCTCCTTCTCAGAGCACGCTCAGAAGGCGGCAGTTCGTGGAGTGATCTGGGATCACTGATGGTGCATGTGTACACGTGTGGGGGGCACATGTGTGTACATGTGAGCACGTGTGTGTGTGTGCCCCTCACCGGCGAGGAGGGCGCTGGGCCTCGGGCCTACCTGACGAGGGGCTTGAAGACGGCCCACAGGACGCGGACGAAGCTGGTGGGGTGCACGATGTAGAGGGCCTGCAGGTTCTTCTTGTGCCTGAAGGGGGCGCCTCAGCCGCTCACCCGACCCAGAGCCCCGTCCCGGGGGGACCGGGCCGCCCCGCCCGCAGGGCACAGCGCTCTGAGCCGCACCCCATCCCGGGCCCCCGCCCCGGCCCCGGCCCCCGCCCCCGGCCCGGCCCGGCCCCACGCACTTCCTGTCCAGCTCCCGGTAGGCGCCCTGCAGCCAGCGCAGCGACGGCCGGTTCCGGCGGCTGAGCCCGAAGTGGAAGTACACGACGGCGTAGGCGCCCTCCACCCGCCGGTCCAGCGTGTGCTTCAGGTACCTGCGGGCACCCGGTCAGCACGGCGCCCGCAGCCCGCCCGCCCGCCCCGCGGCGGCCCCACCCCGCCCCGCTGCAGGAGGTGGCAGGGAGGGGAGCACCAGGCCCCGGAGGGAGGTGAGATCGGAGTTCGCGTGGCAGCGGCACAGACGGCCCCAGGCCCTGCCACCCCCTCCCGGGGAGGTCCTCACCCGAAGGAAGCCGGACACCACCGTGACGCCACCTGCATCCGCACCCGAGCTCGGCCGGGCTCAGCGGGGCGCCCACGGAGGGATGGGCGGGGGACTTACTCCAGCAGGCGCCTGTGGTTGAGCTCGTGCGAGGGGGGCATCCGGCAGCAGCTGAAGGTGACGATGCGTCTCCCCAGGCAGTCCAGCCCTGCAGGACACCCCGCTGAGCGCCGAGGCCCCAGCTGCCTCTGGGGACCACGGCTTCGCACACACACTCACACACACACACACACACACACACACACTCTCACACACTCACACACACACCAGCCTTCACACACACACACGCACCAGCCTTCACACACACACACACTCACACACACACACACACACACACACACTCTCTCACACACTCACACACACACACACATACACTCACACACTCACACACTCACACACTCACACACACATAGACTCACACACACACACACACTCACACACACACACACCAGCCTTCACACATACACACACCGGCCTTCACACACACACACACACACACACACAGAAACACACACACCGGCCTTCTCACACACACAGAAACACACACACACACACACACACCCCGGCTTCACTCACACACACACAGACACACACACACACTCACCGGGCGCCCCTGACTGCCCGCTCCAGCTCCGAGGACAGACGCCCAGCACTCAGAGGAGGCAGTGTCCGTGGAGCAAGCCTCTGCCAAGGACACAGCAGGCTTCCCACAATGCTGGCGCCCGCCCTGCCCTGGCTCCTGGTTTTCGGTGGGGAGTGGGGCTCGCAGCCTATCAGTGCCCATCAGACCCCCTGCCAGAGCGCCTGTGCCGGCGCCGAGGGGCTGCTCTTCGGCTGGGCCGGAGCACGCAGGGTGTGAGACAAGGGCAGAGCGGCAGGGAAGGCTCAGAACAACGAGCCCCACCTGGGACATGGGTGCCCAGTTCCGCCAGCCACAGGGCAGGAGGGCACTGCTGGCTGTGAGCCCCGCCGCCCTGCCATCGGCACAGGCGAGCGCAGTACATGCAAAGGCCCTGAGGCAGCGACACCGAGGGACGGAGCCCAGCGCCACACCGGGCCCAGCTCCTTTCCCCAGCAGCATCCTGCTGGCACAGGGCGGTGAGCCATCCACCTGATGAAGCAGTCGCCACAGCGACGGTGCCGACACCATCCGTCCGTGTGAGCGAGCGCCCGGGCGTCCTCTGGCAGCACCGGCCCGCGTGTCAGACACAGGCCGCGAGGTGAGCTAACAGCCGGAAACGAAAGCTATCAATAACGGGCCAAGCCAGAGGCAGCGGCCAATCCACTCCGTCCTCCTCCCTCGCTGCTTACCGGGCTCACGAGAGCCCCGAGTGCGATAAAGAAGCGATTCCTCAGTCCTCACGCCGGGAGGGAAGGCCGATGGCCTGCCGAGCGAGGCAGAGCAGCCCAGCGGGGCCTGCACACTGAGCCGGCGCACAGTGGGTGCCCAGGGCTCACAGGGCTCAGGTCCTAGGCCACGGCCGCTGACCTCGCTGCGGAAGCCAGAGGGATTCCGACAGCCTCTGTTTGGTCTGTGCCCGATCTGGGTGCAGCGGTGACCAGGCATCCGGCCAGACCAGGACCCTGTGGACCTTCCTTCCTTAAAAAAAAAACCCTCCCCGAGGATGTGCCTTTGATTGGTCTTAGAGAGAGTGGGAGGGAGAGGGAGGGAAACACGGATGTGGGAAACGCCGACTGGCTGCCTCCTGCAGGCACCCCAACGCCCCAGTTGGGTATGGTGGAGAGCGGGTTTTCAGCCCGATGGTGGACCGATCGGTCGCTATGATGTCACTGACCACCAGGGGGCAGACGCTCAATGCAGGAGCTGCCAATGGGACATCCACCCGAGAGCTCCCAGACTGAGGGTGCAGGCCGGGCTGAGGGACACCTCCTCCCCCAGTGCACGGAATTTGTGTTAGTAAAAACATGTTTTCACAAAAAAGAGTGTTGTTCTGATGCACAAAAGTTGCAGGTTCAATCCCCAGTCAGGGCACATGTAAGAATCGCCTAATGAATGCACAAACACTTGGAACAACAAGTCGATGTTTCTCTCTCTCTCTTCCTCTCTCTAAAAATCAATCAATAAAGAATTTTTAAAAAGCAGAAACAATAAGACACCATCTTAAGAGTTAAAATTCTACAAAGCTCCCCTTTGCCAAACCAATGACGCCTTCGGTACTGGCAGTCAGTGCACTGTCCCCGTGACAGTCTGGCTTTGGCTGTGGGCTCGGTGTTCGGTGCCGGCGGGTGGCACCGGGAGGAAAACGGGGACCCCTGGGGGCAGCGACGCGTGGCTGCCCGAGGCGGAGCCCTGGGCGGGTCCTACTGTCCCCGGGTCCCCCATACCCAGCACCCGCGGGAAGGAAGGCGTGCAGTCATGTCCTGGGCCTCCCAGCGGGCTCACCTTCCACCTGCAGGATGCCGTGTCTGGCCACGTCGTAGAAGGGGTGGCTCAGGCTCAGGGCAGGGTCCTGGTCGGCCGCTGCCACCGCCGAGGGTCTCTGCACTGCGCCCAGCGCAGCCGCCTCCTCCTCGTCTCTCTGCAGCTCTGCGGTGAACAGCGAGGAGCAGAGGTCAGCTGTGTGCTCCAGGGAGGAGCACGCGGGACCTCCGGGCGCCTTTTTATAGGACGGTCACCATGCCTCTGCCGGGCACCCACCAAGCGCCCGCCTCCGCCGTGCGCCCACCGCGCTCCCACCTCCGCCATGCGCCCACTATGCGCCCGCCTCTGCTGTGCACCCACTATGCGCCCGCCTCTGCTGTGCACACACTATGCGCCCACCCACTATGCGCCTGCTCTGCTGTGCACACACTATGCACCCACCCACTAGGTGCCCACCTCTGCTGTGCACACACTATGCGCCCACCACTATGTGCCCGCCTCTGCTGTGCGCCCACTATGCGCCCGCCTCTGCTGTGCACCCACTATGCGCCTGCTCAGTGCAGCACCATGGGAGAGAAAATGAGACCTGAGGGCTGGATGTTGGCCCTCACAGGGACACGGAGGCTCAGAGAAGGGGAATGACTCCCCAAGGTCACACTGTGATGGCACCAGCGTGTGGACCGAACCCCATCTCCCAGCTCCAAATCCCGCCTCAGCCCCGAACCCAACGATGGGGGACTCCCCGTGGGAAGAGGGGCGAGCCCGGAGGCAGGGCCCGCGCACCTATCTCGGCCAGCTCCTCCAGGTCCAGCCGCGCCATGCCTGGGGGACAGGGGGGTACACGGCCGCGATGCCTCCTCTGGGACCTGCCAGAGAAGAGAAGGGAGAGGGTGCACCTCACACACGGCTCCTGCAGGGGGCGCCCTCCAGCCGCCCCGGCCCGGAGAGCAGGGCCCCGGTCGCCCGGACACCATCAACCTCTCCCCCCTCCCCCGAGACACGCACGCTCCCTCCTGTGCCCATTGCCCGGAGCAGGTAACAGGCCGGCAGAGGCCAGTCAGCGCTGCTCACGGCGGCACAGCCAGGAACCCTAACCGACAGCCAGGCTGACCCTGTGCCCGGGCCACTGCCTTAACGCCTGAGAAAACCTAAACAAATCTCTGTGTCCAAATCATGAAATATTTGTGTCCCTGAAAGGAGCGCAGTTCTGCCACACGCCAGGTCACGGATGAGCCTGAACACGTTACGCTACGTGGAAGCAGCCGGCCCCGGACGGCCACAGCGTGTCTGGTTCCTCTGATACAAACAGGCAGCTCCACCGAGACGCAGCGAGGCGGCTGCAGGGGGGAGGAGGACGGGGAGGAGGGGAGGGAGGGTGGTGGTGAGGGAACGGCTCTTCCGAAGGCGAGGACGGCGTCCCAGCGCTGACCGGTGCCGGCCGCGCTGTCGTGAACACGCCAGCACCGGGAGCCATCCCCTTCCCGGGCGGACTGTGTGGCCTGTGAGGTGCACCTCAGTAGTGGTTTTAAGAAATCAACAAAACGGGTGAAAACAGCGTGTAAGCATGGTCCAGTATTTTAAGAGGAAAAAAAAAAAAGTTTAGCCAAAACCGGTGTGGCTCAGTGGATAGAGCGTCAGCCTGTGGACTGAAGGGTCCCGGGTTCAATTCCGGTCAAGGGCATGCACCTTGATTGCAGGCACATCCCCAGTTGGGGGTGTGCAGGAGGTTTTTTTTTTTTTTTTTTTAATATATTTTATTGATTTTTCACAGAGAGGAGGAGAGAGGGATAGAGAGTTAGAAACATTGATGAGAGAGAATCATCGATTAGCTGCCTCTTGCACACCCCCTACTGGGGATGTGCCCACAACCACGGTACATGCCCTTGACCGGAATCGAACCCGGGACCCTTCAGTCCACAGGCCGACACTCTACCGCTGAGCCAAACCGGTCCTGGCTATGCAGGAGGTTTTTGATGACCCTCTTTCATCGAAGTTTCTAACTCTCTATTTCTCTCCCTTCCTCTCTGTAAAAAAATCAATAAAATATATATTTTTTAAAAAGTTTAACATTGTTTTAAAAATCTGTTTTCTGTCCTGGCCCGTGTCGCTCAGTGGTTAGAGCACTGGCCCACACACCAAAGGGTCATGGGTTCACTTCCAGGTCCGAGTCAGGTTCCTGGGATGCAGGTTTGAACCCTGGCCCAGTCGGGGTGAGTTTGGGAGGCAACCAATCAATGTGTATCCATCTTTCTCTTTCCTCTTTCTTCCTCCTTCCCTCACTCTCTCTAAACATCAGTGGAAAAATATCTTCCGGGGAGGATTAACCAACAAGTAAAAGAATAAATAAAAGTGCTGTTTTCTATGAATTCTGCAGTTAGGATTTGGCAACCCATTTATTTTCCATGTTTGTCCTTTTATCTTCACTTGTGCAAAAGCCTGTATTGCTCTTAATATGAGATAGCATTTATGCCGGGACCAGTTTGGCTCAATGGATAGAGCGTCGGCTTGAGGACTGAAGGGTCCTGGGTTCGTTTCCGGTCAAGGGCATGTACCTTGGTTGCGGGCATAACCCCAGTGGGGGGTGTGCAAGAGGCAGCTGATCGATGACTCTCATTGATGTTTCTAACTCTCTATCTCTCTCCTTCCTCTCTGTACAAAATCAATAAAATATATTAACATTTAATATAACATTTAAACTAAAAAACGCAAGACTGGCAACAGAAATATCCGAATATATAAAAAGCCAAGTGTTGTCACGACTGAAATAACCAGATGGATGACTGAGCAGCAGGCTGCATGGGGTGACCAGGCCAGCGGGAGGGGGGCAGTTGGGAGCAACCAGGCTGGGATTGGGCCTAAACCGGCAGTCAGACATCCCCTGAAGGGTCTCAGGGACCCCGCCCCATGCACAAATTTCTTGCACTGGGCCTCTAGCTTTATGACATATATTAAAAACCTTGCCTCCTTAAAACACACACACACACACACACACACACACACTCACACACCAAAACTCCTGTTAGCCTAGTGCCGCTTCAGCTCCATTTCACAGATGAGAAAACCGAGGCAGAGAAGTGAGTCACCTGCCCAGATCCCCGGCCTGTTAGGGGAAAGCTTCCGGGTGGACAATCTGGCCCAGGACGAGGGTGTGCAGACCGGGGAGGAGAGCCAGCTGGCCGGGGCTGGTGCACACAGGATCGGCTTGCTCCCTGGCACGATGCGGGCACAGAGCACCCGGCAGGGGCCCCAGCCCTGCCCCCCGGGCCCCATCTGGCCCCACCGTCCACCTTCTGCCCGGAAGGAACGCACCGGCTTCCAGCCAGCCTTCCCCTCGCCATGGCCGATGGCGGGAGGGCCCGGCCTGACCCCAGGCCTGGGGGCCTGTCCTCACCGCTGGCCGGGAGCCACGCCACCGAGTGAAAGTGAGAACAGAAACCCGATCGCCTCACGGCTCCGGGCAGCTGGCAGGGCGGCCGGAGGAGCCAGGCGCTCTCCTCCGGCTGTGGGCGCGCACCAGCCTGGCAGCCAGAGGCAGGGGCCGGCCTGGTGCTGCCCTGGGAGTGGGGGCTGGGGGACAGTCCTGTGGGGGGCCTGCTGCCACCATCACTCCTCTTGCACCTCACAACAGGCAGGGGCTCCCCAAAGTCTGACGACAGAAGGAGACCCCCCCACTCCCTGCCCCACCCAGGTCCTAGGGTCCCGGGCGCCTTCTGTGTCCCGCCCGTGGCTGAGCCCGTCCCCGGCCACACAAACGCTGGAGAGCAATGGTCTGCGGCACCAGGCGCGCCCTGAAAATGCAGGGGACCCAGGGAACACTCCAGAACATGTGGTGAAAGCCTGGCCGGAGGCCGTGCCCGCCAGGCGGACACCTGAGACAGTCCCCGTCCTCGGCCCAGGCTCTGCCCGGGGGGACTGGCCTCCCGGGCACCGATGCCCAGGGCACATGGAGCCCTGGACCCGGGAGGCATTTCTGTCCCGCCTCACCCTCCGCCTGAGTCCCTGCCTGGGCGTCTGCCCGCTGGGGGCAGGCCCTTCCCGCTGGCCGCCCGGAGGAGCCGCCCGGGATGGGGACTGGGCTCCGAGGAGGAGCCATCAGCCTGGGACGGGCTCTGACGAAGATACTGGCCACGTGGGTGCCATGCAGCCGAGACTCCGACCCCCCCATGTTTTATTTCCACTGCACAGCACACGGCTTGTTGCTGCAAACCCATTTGCACGTCCCATACACAACCGCACAGCCATTACCACACGCTGCTGCTGCAACTTAGCACCCGCTCACCTGGGGCAAACGAGCACCGACCCCCATCAGAGGGCGGAGGAGGAGGGCAAGCAGAACAGCGCCCCAGGGCGTCCGCACGGCCGGTCTGTCTGGGAGCGGCAGGTGCTAACCCCGTATTTCCAGGGGCCCCCGAGGCCCGAGAAAGACCGAGGCAGGGTCACCGAGGCAGGCAACGCACAGCCAGGCGGGAGGGGCGGGGTGCCTACTCCAGGCAGAAAGGGGGTCCCCCCTGAGGTGGGAACCAGGGGCTCCCAGGAGAGTAACTGTCACCCGTCTCAGCTGTCGAAGACGGACTGATACACACCCACCGCCCACTCTTCCATGCAAACACCGCGGGGCCTGACGCCGGCGAGAAGGCGGTGGGTGCCAGGCGGAGGGTGCCAGGAGGGGCCAGCACCCCGGGCATCCGGGCAGGGTGCTGGGTGAGACGCCCGAGGCCGCCAGGTCCAAGCAAGCGGCGATGCTCTGTGACCTTGTCAGAGGCCTGCCCCTGTCCCAGGGGCCCTGGGCGCTCAGGGAGGGCGAGGGGTCTGCTGGGCCACCCACCCCTCCCGTGGTTCACAGGCACCAATGTGAACACCCCGGGCTCCTTCGGAGTGCACTCACCTGCAGGCCCTGCTGCCGGCGCCGGCCCAGCCACCGCCCAGAGCCACCCGACTCCCCGAGAGTCACTCTATCTCCTCTTCAGCGAGCCGATCAGCATCAGCCCTCCCCTGGCCGCGGGGAGGAGCGCGCTCAGGCCCGAGAGGCAGCAGGGAAGGTCCCGGTGCTTCTGGGACAGAAGGGCCTGTGTCAGAGAGGCCCGGGAGCCGTCTGCGGATGAAGGTGGAGTCTGGAGAGGCTGCAGGTAACTCACCGCCCCTGGAGGTCCGGAGGCCCACAGAAAGGGCGGGGACTGTTACGCCCTGATCACGCCAGACCTGATCTACACACCATTACAGCTACATGGCCAATACAGCTCAGAGTCGGGTCTTTTGTTCATTGCAGTCAAACGTGTCCTGTGACCCCAGTCTGGGAGAGGGGCTTCCCTGGGCGCTAGTTGCCCTCAGCTCCGTCACAGCCTCTTCCAGAAAGATCAGATCACAGGTCAGCCGGGTCAAATGCTTTCCCTCAACGTGGCCAGAGAGAACAGGGCCCCAGGTGCCGGCGGGAGGTTAGGCCTCTCTGTACCTCCCAGACCAGGTCCCATCTCCTCTGCGCCCCCCTCCCCCGCCCCATCCCTGGGGAGGCCCCTCTGTCGCTCAGCAGCCAGCCCCACGCTGACCTGTGAGCGGGGTGTGTGTGTGTGTGTGTGTCTGTTTGGGGTGAGCGGTGGGAGTGAGAGGCAGGTGGGGGAGCTGTGGCGGCCTCCAGCTCCGGAGCTGTCCTGGGGTTGACAATGTGCCAGCCCCTGCCCGCCAGTGTCTCCTCGGTGGGTCTTAAGGGGACACCTCCTGAGAAGGTTCCGGACTCCTGACCTGCCAAACCAGTTCCTTCTAGTGGACAGTCACCAACTGAAAATGAGCTCCTGGCTGCCAGGCCTGGCCGGGGTCACGGGAGAG